GAATCCTTCATAAAGTAGGATTTCATGGAAATTCTTCTGGTCCAGAGGAAAGAGAGAAAGCTCAAGAAAGGAAAGAATGAATAGCATAAGAGTCTACTGTAGAGGCTGATTCTTGTGCCTTCTAAGCCTGTAGACCGAGATAGAATTGCATTATGCCTAGCTTGCCTTACCTTCGCTATTTGCCCCAAACATAGGGAGGCAGTAAAGTCACTTTAGGAAGAAAAGGAAAAAAGTCAAAAAAGGGTTTTGGGAGTGATAGACAGAAGTTATAGAGAATCAAGCAAAAACGAAGCTTGATTAGTTGAAGAGGCACCAGATTAGGAAGTGAAAACAAGCCTTGAAAGACAGAAGTTATAAATAATCAAGCAAAAGCAAAGCCTGATCAATTGAAGAGGCACCAGATGAGGAAGCAAAAGCAAGCCTTACTAAATAAGTGAAAGGAGAGGAAGCAAGAAAAGAAAAAGTGACAGGCTTTGACGCACGCTAGGATCATGTAAGATAACATCATTTACTAGATATTTCTAATCTAACCCCTTAGTCTTAGCTCAGCTTAATCAAGAGTTGCACTCTTTGTAAGACTTGCTATTCTTTTTTTGGCAGTCTTAGGAGATATAGGAAGTCCATTCTCCTTCAGACCCTGTAACTCCTCATTTAACATTCGGGAAGCAATTGAAACTCGTTATCTTGTTTTTAATTTGGAACCCTCCCTACTCTAGAGCTCAACAATTAGAAATCGAGTCAAACCAAAGACAAAGTAGGCAGAGGATCTAGAGGTAGAACTGTGAGATCAAAGAAAGAATGTCTTCCTCACAAAGCATAAGGAAAAGCGCTCTAGCTAGGCAGATAGCTAGGAAAAGGAGAGACGGATATTAGGGCACTCCAACCTTACTTATTGAATTCCTTCCATATCTATATTAGGGCACTCGAGCGTATTTCATTCCCTCTTAGTCTCTTTTCATCTAATAAATGATTCAAAAGTTCCACAAGTATAGTACCGAAAAACTTCACAAAAGGAGAGTTATAAGAAAAAGGTAATGGGGAGCCAGGAGTGAAGATAGCAGGCGAAATAGAAAGGTTTAAGGGTCTCCAATGCCTCTAAATTCTAAGCAGAAAGGCTTGACTCGGGTCGAATCATGAATAAAATCTTGAACCTCTATCATTTTTCTGTCTTCGAGTCTTGCTTGGTGTCATTTTCTCCCAAAAATGTGATGAGTTTCAGTGTTGTTTGAGGGACAAATCCTCCCTTGCGACTGCTTTACTCACATAGTTGCACAAACCCACTATGTTGGGTATTCTAAGAAATAATAAATGACAGTTATTGAAGGTTGCAAAGTAGTAACTACTTCTCATTCTCTTTCTGTAAAAGAGACCAATAATGAGAACCGGTCCAATGCTATCTCTTTTGCTTTCCTCTCCCTCACCCCTAAAAGATTTGGCCAAGCTTTCGTTTTCATTCGGACCCTCATAGTCGAGCCAACAGGCAGTTACCTGGAACGAATGCTTGTTGGTCAAACTAAGACGCTACTAGGGAAGACCTTCTTGAAGAAGATCTTGAATAACTTGAGTCTTTTGCCTTTTTGAATCCCTAGGGATTTCATGTTCAAATAAGGGTCGACTTTCGAGGAGTCATTGAGCCTCTTTCTTTCATTTAATAAAAAGTAAGATAGGCTACCCCTTTACCCATCTTTGAGAACCAAGTTGAAACTTGACCCCTAGTCCTTTCAAGCGAGGACACATTGCTTGCTATTTCTCCTCTATTCAGATTGCTAGGGAATTCCCGACTTAGAAGTCAAGTAATAGACATAGACTGAAACAATGAAAGATACCCTTCAGGGGTAGCCCAAGGTAAATTGAGGCCCTAGGCAAAATTTCACATCGGCGCTATTAATATTTAGGGCATACACAGTGTATGAGGCTCCCACCATTGTAGGGTTTGAGGAGGGACAGATGTACGCAGCCTTATCTCTACAAGCAAAGAGGTTAACGACTCGAATTTGTAAGCTCCAAGTCACAATGAAATAACCTTACCGTTAAAATATTGATCAAGTTCTTGTATTTAATTTTTGATAATAAATCTTTCTCAATTAATAATATGGTTAGTTCATTCAATCTTAATTGATTGTAAATAAGATATTATCAATTTAAGTTTTGAGTAAGCAATTTAATGGGGCCCTCTAAAATTTGGACTTAATCAAATACAGAGTAATTTTAGATCTAACAAAATTAGATATTGATTTGAATTCTTAAAATTAAGATCATAATATATATATATATATATTAATATGGGTTAATTACAAAATGCCCCCTTGAATTTTGAGTCTTATTTCAATCAAGGCCCTCTGGTTTAAAATTAAACAATTTTCCCCCTTCAAGTTCTAAAATTAACAAGTTGACTAATTAATTAGACAAAAATTTTAAAATTACTTTTGTACCCTTAGTCTTTATTCATGTCAATTTTTTTTTCCTTTCTCTTTGTCGAATTGAGCCAAAATCTCCAACGCCACCATCCACAACCCACCACAACCACCAACCACCGCAGTTGCCAACACAGCTACCATCAACCCGCCCACAAACCACCATAGCCACCACCCAGCCACAACCACCGCAATTACCAACCACTGCAACTACCAACCAACGTAGCCACAATCAACTAACTAAAAAACTATTGTAGCCACAACCCAACCAGCTAGTCACCCAACCACAAACTACCACAGCCACCACCCAACTAACTTGCCAACAACCACCGCAACTACCAATGTAGCCACAAACCATCGTAGCAACTACCTAGCCAACCAAACCACAAGCCACCACTTAACCACCTATCGACAAAACCACCAGATTCACAGTGGAGGAGGACGGTTTCGGTGGGGTGGGTTTCGGTTTCAGTAAGTGGGGTTGGAAGGATTTGAATTTGGATTCAGTTGATGGGGAAGGATTAGGGAATTGAAGGAAAGGTGGAGGTGGGTTTTTGATTTCAATGGAGGGGTGGGAGGGATTTGGGTTTTGGTTCAATGAAGGGGGAGGAATTAGGGGGTTGAGGGAAAGGAGGGGGGTGGGTTTCAGTGGAGGGGGGGGGGGATTTGGGATTTTCACACAAGTTGGGTTTTTTTCTTTTTCTTTTCATTTTTGATTTTTATTTTTATACAAAAAATTAAAACATGGATAGTTGTGAGTTTTTGATTAATTTAAGTCATTTGTAACATTGGTCAACTAATGGGAAAAATTAATTGAAAATTATTCAAACATTAAGGGGACAAATTGTTCAATTTTAGAACTTTAAGGGGAGCAAATTGTTCAATTTTGAACTAGAGGGCCCTAATTAAAATAAGACCCAAAGTTTAAGGGGACATTTTGTAATTAACCCTATATATATATATATATATATATATATATATATATAGGCCTACTATAATAAAGGGTAAATTTTTGGGGCTCTTTAAAATTTGGGTTTAATCAAGTAGAGAATAATTTTGGATCTAATAAAATTAGATATTAATTTGAACTCTTAAAAATTTTGGTCCTAAAATTTTTTGGATTATATCTAAAATAAAAATAATAATATAAAGGCCTACTGTACTGAAGGGGTAATTTTTTTGGGGGCCCTATATAATTTGGATTTAATCAAGTAGAAAGAAATTTTGAACCTAACAAAATTAAATATTGATTGAAACTCTTAAAATTTAGGCCCTAAAAATTTGGATCATATTTAAAATACCAAAAAAAAAAAAAAATAGACCTACTATACTAAAATAATTTTGGGGGACCTCTAAAATTTAGGGCCCTAGGCAAGCACCTTGGTTGCCTACGCCTAGGGCCGGCACTAATACCCCTACATTCACCCTATTTCAAAATTCATTTTTATACCAAAGCTTGACTCGTCCTGATTCAAGACATTCCAACGCTCTTTCAACCTCAACTGCTAGGCCTTCGATACACTTTGAGAGCAATAAAAGTCTATCTCTAACTCTACAAGGGCTTATGCAATTCACTTTTCACTAGGTGTAAAAAAGAAAGGACCAAATTAGATTATCGAAAGGAGGCGAAGAGTAGACAAAAAGGGATAACCGGAGAGGTATGCTAACTTTAAGAAAGAATGCATTATTACTAGATTAGGGGAAAGGAAAAAATAGAACAGGTACACTCAAAAGATAGGAAAGCGATTGGACTCAATGAAGGATAGTTTGTTATAAATTAGTGTTAGGATTTTTTATCCTTTTAGATGTTTGGTAAATTTTTGCAATTTTTAAACTATTTTTCTTTGTAATTACTTGAATTGTCGGATTTTGTCCTTTGAGCAATGCAATTTTGACCTACATATTTATTAGAACCCACAATGAATCCAATAACTGCGATAAATTAGGTTCAAATTAAATTATTATTGTCCTTTGTAGGCTCCATTCGAAGTCAAGTGAATTGGATTACTCGCTTCATCAATTAGGTAAGGGTTTGGGAGTGTGAGCTTAAATGGGGCTAAGATTTTCTTAGCAACCTTTATATAGTAATACAGGATTACCTTTGTAAGGGCAGACAATCTTTAACACAATCCTCAATTCAACACGAAATAATTAAATATAAATTTAGCATTAACGGGCTCAAGTCACACTTAGGTTGATTGGCCAATATTATTCAAGAAATCCCAAAATTTTAATTATTGTTCAAAAATGTACAAAATTTCATTGGGAGTAAGCTCCATGCTTTAATGATAAGATTTTGTCAAGTACCTATTTTCGCTTTCTCTCCTGTTGTGTGAGGGTTGCAAATTGGTCATACAATGTCAAATCAGTGTATTAGTAGACATGTTGAATCACCAAGTCTATAACAGATGCTTGGCCAATGGCCAGTTCACATCACCATTGCTATTAAACAAAATCACAAATCATGCAACGCAGTATAAAGATAAACAGAGTGAGATCTAATTGAATATACTATTTTTTTAATTTTATTTAAGATAGATTACCCACCATGTATGATTGATGATCAACTTATAAATTGTGGGTCTATATGAATTAAAGGAGGGATTTGGATCGTGTGAAATGCAGTGTTGCACATGCTGCTACTCCCTCCGGTCTCGCAACATGAATTGATGAGAACCATTTATCTATCATAGTCAATCGCTTGTTGCACTTCAACTATATGACTGCGCGAGAGATGGGAGTTAATGGGGAAGTAAGATACTGGAATTGGGGCTCCACCCCACTTTGCTTTGCCTTTAGGCTTCTCCAATGAGGGCGCTGACACCGACAACTTCAGATTGTGCATGGTAGCATCGGATATTCGCGAAGAAGACGATGGAATGAAGCAACTGAAAAGGGCTGAGAGGAAAGCCATTGCTTAATTAGCTTGCTTTTGTCAACTAAATGGTCTTTATTCTGGACTTGGTGAAGGAGCTCTAGTGAATGTTGTGTTTAGTTGATCAGAGGAGTTATTAATGGCAAACCATTAATGGGTTATTATTTATAATGGCCGATTAGAAGCTGAAGTCTGTCAATTTGTTTGTAGCGCACGGGAAAAGACCAAATGCGTGTTTAGACTACTTTTCCTTTGTTTAACTTTATAGGATGGCTCCTACTGGTTTCCTATGAGATGGTTGTTGCTTTGACTCATCCTTGCACTTTCAACAGTAGGAAAAAGATGACACAGTGGTGGATGATGTAAACCTACAAATTATATAGGCCACAATTTTAATCACGCTCTTTTTAATTTATCATATCTTTAAAGACGTCTTTTTATTATCAAAAATATCACTGACACCATTTTTAGTTTATATTTAAATATCACTGACACCCCCTGACATTAAACCATCATTTATAACAAAAATAAATTATCTCAAATACCAAAATTGTCCTTACATAAACCCCAAATAATATTTCTACATAAAATTTGATTAAAATTTGAGCCAATTAAAATTTATTTTTTTACATATTAAAATTCGAGCTGATTAATTTTTTTTTCTATATACTAAAATTTGAGTCGATTAAAATTAAACTCAAGCTAATTAAATTTTATATTTATATGTATGAAAATTTGAGCTTAGTAAAATTCTTTTTACATGCTAGTAGATGTACACGTGCGTTGCACGTGGACTGTAGTTGATCGAAATTATTATTGATAATGGTTACTTATGGATGGCAGCACCAAAACTCTATATGTTGAAGGTTTTTGATGTATAATAAAACGCTATGATTTTGTTATGGAATCTATTGAAATTATCCTCCATTGAAGATGACTACCTTTTTTCTCGTGTTTGTTCATGAAAAGTTTTGTCACACTACCCAGTGGCAATTTTTGTTTAATGGCAAGACAAAACAAATAAAATAAATGAGATTAAGACTGAGTTTTATTGATGTTTTAATGCAAACACAAAAATGACACTGTTAAGCATAAGCAAATCTCTAATGTTGGGCTGGAAAAAAATTTAGTAGTTAAACTAAAAACAATGTCCCCAACTGGCGTACTTGAGTTGATGGAAGTTTTCATCTAGAATATACAACTTGAAACTCTGCCTTTGGTTTACAATCCTTTCTGATTCAAAGGGTCAACAAACATAAATTTGGAATGATAAAAAAACAGAAAGATCAACAAAGAGACATGGACTGGCGGAGTTTAGAAACTGCATTATGAACATCAATTATAGTTCTTTGCTACTTTTCATTGACATGGCCAATGATAAATAAAATAGCAAAAGTAACAAAATTCACTTAAAGTAATGTATGACTGTAGTATTACATCCATAGGTAGGAACAAAAAACAGAAACCTTCTTAATGGAAATTATTCTAACAGACAAATGCAAAGGAGCTTCAATGAGTTTGGTAGTACAATGAATATTGAAAAAAGAGACACTTTGGGAGAAAGATATTGAAATAGAGTGAAAGTAAGAGATAGATAGGATTAGAGGAGTGTTTTGAGTGAAATTTGCTTGAAAAGTCAATATACAAAAATAGACCCAAAATCAATGTGTTGATTATAAGTCCCATCCCTAAGCGGGAGGGATTTGTTACCAACCTAAACAATTTCAGCAACCCTTCTAGAAATGCCATTGTCCCTAGTAACACAGAGGACCTGCTTGAGCTTTTGTGCTTGCAGGAATCTTGTCATTTGAAGAATTTTCAAATAGCACCTCTATAGTTTTGCAGTTAGATATTGAAAAAAAATCTTGACTCCATCAAGTTCTAACCAGTATCAAAAGAATTTTAAGTCAATTATGCAAACCAATGATATTAGTCCAAAAAATAAGCACTAAAATTCTACATCAAAATACCACAACATCAAACATTAACTTCTTCATGGTTAACTTTAATTAAATTTTATCTCGCCTTGCTTTTAATAAGTTGCAAGGTCTACCCACTGGGCCGTTGATAACATGTATAATAAACCTGTTACCTGAAAAAGTGAAAATTAGAAATGGAAAAATAGAGAACCTGTTACCTGATTATTTGAATCTTGCCCAGGTATTCGTTGACTATAGAAGAATGGTTGGTAACATGACATTTAAAAGGTTCATAATCATGGAATGAACTGGGACAAAAACAGTTCAAGAAGAGCTTGTTCTCTGGGATGCGCAACTGGAAAGGAGGCATTCCTTGCCAACATATATACTTCCATTTGTCACATTAATCCATTCATCAACTCTAATAATTGGTTTTGATTATCGTATTTCTTATTTCAATTCAAAGGTAAATAATCTACTCAAGTTTAAAGAACACATAAGAAAACAAAAACAAAAATCATACCCACTAAAAAAATAGCAAAATATTCACTGGTGACGAGGTAACTAAGTAGGACCAAGTAAGAATTTGCATGGTTAAATTGGTTAACAATTAAATTTCTCGGAGCTCATTAGCATTACAAACCTGATTCAATATATGACATATATGTGTGTGTGTGTGTGTGTGTTGACTTAATGTAGCTATAGTGATCATTGAATTGACCATGAACTCAATTTAATATTGTGATCCATTCCTAATCCAATGAGATTAGATAATTAAGTTACCATATTGGATCAAGAAATTAAGTTTAGGTAGGACTTATCACAGAAGAGTTTGATAAAATCTTGGGAAAATATAGGATCATGTCTTTTTCTTGTGAAAATGTATATTAATCTGAAGTCTCAAATTAATGGTCATTCCCAAACCAGGCGACTGAAGGCCTTTGGTAAACTCGATCAGCCTTTTCTTAATGGCAAATAGTTGAAACTTGCACTTATATGTGAATAGAAAAATAAGCAAAGAGCATAAAAAAAAAAGGATAGAAAAATAAGCAAAGCAAAAACCTGTGGGATAATAATCTTGTCCAAGGTGAAGGTTGATGTCCAGAACTTGTCCAAATTCAGGTTGTAGGACTTCCATAACTGTCATATAAATGTAAGTAATTCAATTTAGAAGTTAAAACATTGACGATTGAATACTAATATAGCTACAAGGAACATAAAGTGAAGTATGTACTGCCAGTGTGAATGACACCAAGTGATAGAAAAATGAGATGTAGTTGAATAGGACTACATACATATATAAAAATAACTTGTACAAAAAAAAAAAAACAATAAGATTGCAGAACTGTTATCAAGGCTGCTAATCATGTATAGAAATATAGATGAGTTCAAAATCAAGTAAATACTCCATAACAAGAGAACCTCAGGTTATTGTCATGATAATATTACAGAACTATTATCAAGGCTACTACCAAATTTTCTTTCTGGGTTGTACACGGAAGCTGCGAACTGGAGAGAACCACCGAAAACTGATGCCGGCCACATCACTAACAAGCAATCTATTTTTTCTTGATTTCTCCTTAAGCCCTAATGGTTCTCCTTAGTGCTTCTGATTCACTGCCTCTGGAAAGAGTCGAGTTATCCTACTAACTAATTTTGTCACGGGGAATTCGATCAAAAGGACCTGTCTTAAAAATAGTAACACATAACTCCCCAAAGTCTTCATAGCCAAGTTCCTTAATGGTTGGAACTTTTGAAATCTCATAATTTTCAACTTCTCCAAAAGGAGGAAGCCAAGACAGCGTGGTTGAAAGGGGGGATGCCGCCAAGAGGGTTGCCCAGCAAATTTCAAAAATGATTGATAACTCAACGGCGGCTTTCCTCCATTCTTTTGAGACATTTATTATAGTAGAAGAGCATATTAACTCCCATTGTTATTATAGAATAAAACTTGAAATGCAAACAAATAACTCCAACCAATTATAATTTATCAACTATAGAAACAAAAGTATCTCCTAGTGACCCACATGCAAATTCAATTATACCACAATTACCTTCTGTATGATGTCTGCAGGATTGAAGAGTGTATGAGTCACCGGAGAGAACACCTCAATTCCAGATACAGAGGCATGGTTCTATTGAACAATGGTTTGACTTCTTATTATCTTACAATCAATGTCCAAACAAAAGCATATCACTATGCTAATAACAATATAACATCTAAAAACCATTAAGGGAAAATGACTTCGAAGATGACTTTTACCTCAAGTTTAGCATCTAAGGCTTGAAGTGTAACCTACTGATGTGATTTGGGCTCAGTCCCTGCCAGCCTTGCCGGCGAATTTGGCCTTATCCAATCAACATTTCTTTTTGCCTTTTAAGGTTGGAGGATTCGGGATTTTGATCTTTATCAAGTTTTCTCCTCAAACATCTGAGGTCTTCCTCACTCACCCTGCCATTTAAATTTTTGTTCAACTTGTATGCTTCAGCTAATTTTCTCTTGCATTCTTCTCTGATCGGTGAAGGTAGTGGTGTGCTCTTCTCTGATATGTGAAAACGCAGGGCATAAAGAGATAAAGAGACGAATAGGGAAGCTGAAGAGGTGGGGCTGTGAATTTGCAAGAAAAAGAGAGGGAAAAATGGGAGAGAAAGTAGGAGAGAGGGAGAGGGTGTAACAATTGAGAAGTAAATCCCAGGGCAGTGAATTTGAGAAAGGAAATAGGGAGAAAGAGATAGAGACACGGATAAGGGAGATGAAGAGAAGCGGTTGTTAATTGCAGGAGAGAGAGAAAATAGGAGAGAGTGTAAAGGCTATGTGAATGAGGGAGAGAGTGTAACGACTATGTGAATGTGATAGAGGAAATATGGAAACAAAGAGAGAAGAGGATACGAATGACATAATTAAAATGTTTGAGGATAAAATTAGAAAAAAAATATTTTTCACATATGCTGACTTTTTAAAGTATCAAAATATAAGTTAATTAAAATTTATATTTTTTTATGTATTAAAAATCAGGTAGATTAAAATTTAATGTGAATTGATTAAAATTTAATTTGCGCATTGAATAGAATTTTAATCGATTCAAATATTAATACATAAAAAATATAATTTTTAATCGACTCAAATTTTAATTAGCTCGAATCGAATTTTAATTAACCCGAATTTTAATAAGTAAAAAAAATTAGAAAATAGAGACGATCTCCTTGAAGATATGTTTATCTAGAGGGGGTGTGGATGCAGTTTTTCTTAAAATATATCATAGACAATTTAGTAAAATTACATTTTAATTAATATCTTTAATCTAATAAGGGGTGTTAGTGAAGATTCAAAA